TTTAGCTGGGTGTAGGTTTCAGACTTCAGATGCCCATTTTGAGTTGGCATTTAAGTGTTTAAAAGGCTTATGTGGTGTTAATGTGTTTGCTCCTGGCCCTTCCATGCCTGGGTGACAGCTTTGTGGGACCACAGGGTCTATCTGAGCTTGCTCATCCCTAGAACCATGAGGTTCTTCCGTAACAGGTATTTTTTCCCTCTTTTTTTTGCAGGTGTTTCTTGAACTCTTCAGTGCATTACAGAACTGTTGTGTTTTGGGATATCCCACTTAAACCCTCAGAAGAAGATCTGCCAGCAGCCAAAAATGACCTGAGTTGGAGAGCTGCTGCCTTATCCCCAGGTGGTATGTTGGTGGCTTCTCAGTAGCACAGCTTTGCAGGACGAGCTGTCACTAGGGTCTCTCTAGGACAGTTAGTGATCTCCTGAGGATCACTGGGATACCTCACGTCTCTCTACAGCTCCCACATTCTTGGATATATCCCAGAGCAGCCACGGAGGAAGATGAGTTGCCCTCCTGTCTTCTGTGGTTCCGTGTGCTGCTCGTGCATTGTTTATGCCTCAGCATATGTCCTACACCAGCCCCTTGTGCTGCCCAGGCTGAGCTGGCCTTTGGGCACTCCTGCTATTGAATTGCCCCCTTTTATAACATCATGGGAGCTGGAGGTGTCTGCTAACGTGAGAATGGGCAGTGGTGTGCAACAGGGATAAAGCTTTGCTTTCAGGAAAGCTTTGCTTATTGCCCCCTTTTATAACATCATGGGAGCTGGAGGTGTCTGCTAACGTGAGAATGGGCAGTGGTGTGCAACAGGGTCTGGCTTTGCTTTCTCCAGGGATAACAACCCTAGAGTGATGTTTATCATTTATGAAACCAACCATGCCTCAAACCCTACTGTGATTAATTGGCTCCCAGAAGCTACTTGGTGAGGCTTCCCCTTGGGAGTGTGCTCAGCCCATGGCAGGCTTGCGGAAGTTGTCCTGCAGAGTCACCAAGTGTGTCCGTACCAGGCTGGTGGAACTGCTGCTCTTCATGAACTCATCACTTCCACCCCCTGTTACATGTCTCGTTATGTGCTTCATTAGTCTTCATGACTGTGGTCAAGTGGAAGCTCAGTTCTGGAAACGCTAGTGGTGGCATTTAGATATTGGCTGGCTGGGATGGGAGGTGAAGGAAAGCAGAGCAGAGATGTATCCTGCCTCTGGTATGATACTGTCTGTGGTAAGCTTGGCTGTCACTTGTGGAAGGGAATAGAAAAATGGTTTGAGTGGCAGTGGACTGAGATTGCTGTTACCTGGCGTGCAATGGCTGATAGCCAGCTCAGGTCTAGCTGTTTGATGTTTGAGGTGCTGGACTTCGAAATGAGGTCTTTGAACGACCTGAAATTTTAAACATGACCCTCTGCTCTCCCTCTCCCCGCCACTGCCCTCACACTAGTGTTAATATATACACATGCCTGTGCACGCAGCCTTGACTGAGATGTGTTCCTCTCTCCCAGGACCAGCTTCCTGCTCGGTGTTAGTTGTCCCGTTTGGATGCGCCGTGCACTATGGTTCACATCAATGTGTTGAAAAAATTCATGTGTGTTCTTGTGGTGATACTGGTAGCTCTGACCGTTTGCCTGTGGAGGGAGACGAGAAGAAACTACTATGTTCCTTTCAAGACCGAGAGCTATGATTTTCAGGTTCACAGGACTTCAGAAAAGTGGAACCCAGTGAAACCACAGGGCGTTTTCCATGAAGCAGCCAGTGACTTGGGGCAGATACCCAAAATGTGGTTTGGTAACCACAACAACATAAAAGGCAGCACCTCTGGAACTGCTGAAAAGTCCAGGAAAGCAGCAGACTCTATGAAGGTATGGGATAAGGACAGTTCATCCAGAAACCTCATACCCAGGCTGCAGAAGGTCAGAAAAAACTACCTGTCCATGAACAAGTACAATGTGACTTACAACGGGAAGAGGAATGCTGCTAAACTCAGCCCAGAGAAGCTGCTCTGCCAGCTACGGGACAGGGTGAACGTGACCATGATACAGGGGTCGGACAGTCCTTTTGATACCTCTGAATGGCAGCAATACCTACCAGGGAAAAGCCTCAACGAAACAGCGGGCCGCCTGGGTCGCTGTGCTGTCGTGTCTTCAGCAGGGTCTCTGAAATCATCTCACTTGGGACAAGAGATAGGTTGGTATTTTTCTATTAGCATGAAGTCAAACAACACTGTTTTATAACTTAGGCTGAATAGAAGTAACCTGCTGTCACACTCACAAGTAAGCCGCTGCTGTGGTCACAAAGGTGTTTAAAATAAATGGAAACATTATCCCTGAACTTCTTCTGAAGTCAGTGAATGTTAGAGCGTAGGAGGAGATGGGAGTAATGATCAAATAGTCCCTTCCCCTCAGTGTGCACACCGCACAGTGTAGGCTGTGTTAGGATGCCCTAGGTCAAGTGCCTGTGAGCCGTAGATCTCGAGCAGACCAAAACGGCCAAGCCCCAGGGGAGGGGAAGTGTTGGCTTGAGCTGAGAGGACGTGATGTACGTGCAAGTAGTTCTGTTCCGGCTAGATCTTTTAATTTTTGTGATTGTGTTGGCATCACCAGAGGGTAGCACTAATACTGGATACCAGAGAGAGGTCATGGTTTTTCTCAAGTGTTTATTTCTTGAGGGCTTGGGGTGCCTTGAGTAAAGCCAGCGTTCTCATTGCACAATCAACGGTAGGAGCATTTTTCATTCAGAAAGACTTGTTCAGAGAAGAAGTAAAAGAAAACACTAAGGGGAAAAACCCCCACTGGACACAGTCCTGAGCAGTCTGCTGTAGGCGACCCAGCGTGGAGCAGAGGGGTTGGGCCCAGACAGTCTCCAGAGGTCCCTTCCAACCTCAGGGACACACTGTGGTTCTTGCTGAGTTGGTTGATGTAACTGTTTCCACCTCTTGTAAGCATTTGAAACCAGGTAGACTGAGACTTGGGAAGCCAGTTCTGACTTTTTGAGTACCTGTCTTGTCTTGTTTAGGTGCCTCCTGAAGGTTTTTAAAGGTTTCTAAAGCTAAAGGTTTCCCCGGAGTGACCGTGTGTTGAACACAAAACACTGACACAGCTGGCTTGTGCCCAAGAGGGTCTCTGTTAGTCTCCAGCATACTGATAAAACTGCTGCCTCCTCTGTAAGCAGACCCTCTCAGGAGCTGAGGGTGGTGTTTACGGTGTGCTGTAACGCAGCCCATGCAAGTGCTGGATTTGCTGTTGGAGCAGCCAAGAAGTGCAATGGGCTGCACTCCAGCTGTGGCACAGGTGAGAGGACGTTGGACATGGAAAGCTATTTCATTGTTCCTATGGCCGGTCTCCTGAGCCTGTCACCGAAACCCCCATTTATTCTGGATCACAAGGGTTGGATGCTGGAAAGGTCCCTTGTAATGTGCCCGAGACAAATGCTGTTAGCCCTTGCTCGTCTCTCTTCCTTGTGCCTGGGTCACAGACTTTAACCTTTCTGCTCAAGCAGTCATCTGCTAATGGTTCTGCAGAGTTTTGGGCACTTGCAGCCTTGAGCTGGGCAGGGTGAATATTGAAGGATTCAGGAGTATTCAGTGTATTCATGTACAGGTTTTTTCCCAGTTTTGACCTGACATATTTCCATGTAGGAAAAGCCACGGTTTTGTTGGAGGAAGGTGCCAAAAAGGTCCTATATCTGACAGGCTTAAAATGAAGCACTTGTGTAGATGAGCACGACAATTTGCTGACTTATTATTCCTTAAATGGCCAGCAAATATTTGTTCTGTGTAAACATGTTCATATGTCACATGAGCAATTAGTCAATGTAAGGGAGGCTGGCAGAGCAGAACAGGGAGAAGCTTGAAAACAAGCAGCTTGTATCTCACTGAGCTCTAATGGAGGTTATGAATTGCCAGTGAAAAACCTGATGTGGAGAATGCTGAGTGCAGCACAACCACCTGGAGATGGGGTGCCTCAGAGAGCCAGCTACTCTCCCTGTGCAGTCATTAGACACCATTTAAAAATGCAAATCTAGGGCGTAATCACACTTGGTGTCTGGCTGAAGTTATATGGGGAGATTATAACCCTGTACTCCATCAGCGTCAGGTAGGATGTGGAGTTAAGGGTCTGTAATGGTTACTACAGAGCTGCTTCTCAGCGTGGACCCTTTTCAGGAACATCACCTTTCTGAGTTTCCTTTGTTGCTTTGGAAGGGCTCTAACCAAGATCCACTTGTTTAGGAGAATAAAGTAGTTGAGAAACTAGTCTTTGCTGCATGTGATTGCTGATCCACTAGGATTGCTTGTGAGAAACTCCCGTTTTTGAGAAAACAATCTCAAAAAGACCCAGTTCTGGACCAGCGAGCCCTTCTGCCCTGGCTGGGCACTCGGCAATTCCCCATGAAGCCCAGCTGCGGCGGGTGTGAGCTGTGGTCGTGTGTCCTCAACACAAACGCAGGGAAGCTGGTCCTGCTCCTGAAGCTGAACACTCTGGTCACGCAGAAGGTGTCCTACCCAAATCTAGCCAGCGGGTATGGAGAAGCCAGGGTGACAGGCAAGTGCGCCCGCTGTGCCGCAGCAGCAGCCTGGCTGGAGGGTGCTGGAGGAATGCTGTGTTATCTGAAGAGATGATGCCAGCAGAGGAAAATGCTGTGAATCCCAAGGCATGTAACAAGCCCTGCCTGTTAAATGCACAGTGGTGGTTTTATTTCTGTAATGTGGGAGGTATGCTGGCAGGCTGAAGCCAGCTTCGCTTTCCACTGGGGTCATTATACATGTTTCTCAGGCTGGTCAGCCTCCAGGCTGCAAGAGAGACTTGCCATTATTTCCTAGTTCCTCAGTTTGCAGCCAGCCACGTGGTAAATTAATTGCATATCGATCTGTCTCCTAGTAAAGTGTTTGAAAGGAAGAAGAGGGAGAGGGAGGAAGATGCTTCTCCATGCAGAGCAAATGCTAGGGCTGTGCTCTGAGACAGCCAGTGGGTTGTAGTTTTAAAAGGGTACTACTGATTGTTAAGTTAGACTAACAACTTCTTCTGCAGAATCTGGCTTGGTCCACCAAGTTGTTACATGGAAAGTCTCCAGGACTAATAAGATCATATTCAAAATGCAGGTGGATAACCTGTTACATATCTCTTCTATAAGCCAAAAAGAGTTGCTGGCTCACTGGTTTTCACTGTTTTGCTTTCAGACAGCCACGATGCCGTCTTGAGATTCAATGGGGCTCCTATCAAGGGGTTTCAAGAAGATGTGGGGCAAAAGACAACAATTCGTCTTGTGAACTCCCAGGTAGGTCTGACAGATGTGTGCCAAATGGGCTGAGCGTGGCAGAGCTGCCTGGGAGCTCAGCAGCAGCCTGAAATAACAACATCCATGGGGCTTCTGGGTCCATCTGCTCCTGGGAGGTCTCTAAAATGAATTTGGAGAGAATAGGGCTTTCCATCCAACTTCTCCTGTCCCTAGCAGATAGCCATAAGATGAGGACATCCTTCCTTGTAACCGAGAACAGTTGGTAAATCTCCTCCCCGTTGCTGAGATACATGAGGTTACTGCAGTCAAATTAAGATGTGCTAGTGAAACTGCAGTAGCCTGCTTGCAATTTACGGGAAGCACAAGGTAATTTGATTTTTGGCTTGGCTCAAAGCCTCTTTCTAAGCACAGGAAGGCCAGCGGCATGCTTGCTGCTGTGCTTTGGCAGCGTGAGGAACGGCACCGCAGCTCAGCTAACGCTGCTCAACAAACTGAGCTGTGCCAGGAGCCTGCTCCAGAGATGGGTATGAAGAATGAAGGAAGTGTATTTGGGTTTTAATAAAAGAAAAATACTTCTGCCCGGTGATGTCACAGACTCTGTAGATTAACACGCTAACCAGGGTGGTTCAGTGGCTGAAGACAATTGGCAAAGGACACACCTTTAATGCTGTAGCCTGCACGCAGCTAGGAGAGGGTATGGACTTACAGAATCATAGAAT